CTGCTGCTGACCTTTAACCCCAGCGGTTATCAGACTGCAACACGGCCCGCTTCCCGCTCTGCAGCTCCGGAGGTCAAGGTCAGCGCCCAGAAGGTGTTTTGCTGTAAATCCAGAAGATCCAGTTTCTGTCAGAGCAACGAGCCGAGCGGCGAAACGCGAGAAGAGTTTGTACAGCTGGGCGTGAGACACGGACCGGACTGGACCGGACCGGAGCCGTCTGTTTCCATCACATCAGTCCGGCTCATTTTCAGACTAAAACTCACCAACAGCAGCAGCAGCAGGGCGGTGATGCCTGCAGAGGCCCCATGTGACCAGGGGCCCCATGCCACTGGGCCCTTGGTCCCCCAGCTCAGAGAGTCTCTGCAGGGCGTGGCTTCCTCTGGATGACGCCGTGTCTCTGCTCTTCAACGGTTTCCAGGCCGACAAACAGTTACATATGAGGGAAAAAAATCACTTTTAATGTGAAAAATGAGCCAAAAGAAACGGAGAAGAAACATTAGAATGGCTCCAAGTGCAGATTGTTGCTGCAACGCGTTGCTGCAACACGTTGCTGCAACACGTCAATAGCGCCCAGATGGATGGCACCGTGGTGGAAAAGAAAAACAGAATTATTATGTCATTTTTCAGTCGTATTTCAATCGTATTATTATTCATAAATATCTTTACTCCCAACTAAATTCATATTCATAAACATTTAGTTCAAAAGTAAATATTTATTTTCAAAATATTTAGCTTGTAAAAGACATTTTTAGGTTCTTAGTAAATATTTTGGTCATATTCAAAGCAGCAAGTGGAAGTGGACTATCAAAATAAAAGCTTTTTCAGAATTTACATCTTCAGGCAGAAACTCAAAAATGTTTTTTATCTTCAGTAAATATCACAAAGAAACAGAGAGAGTTTCTGTTCCAGATCCAAAATGATCCGACTGCCTTCAGACAGAACCAGAACCGGGACCAGGACCAGAACCGGGACCAGGACCAGAACCAGAACCGGGACCAGGACCAGAACCAGAACCAGAACCAGATCCGGTCCTCCAGTGTCTGGACATCACAAACGGTTTTATTTTATTTTTCTGTATTTTTTTATTTTCCTGCAGGATTTATGAACCGGAGCAGAAAACGTTTGTCGGTACTGCGGGTCCATCTGAGGTTCTAGTTCTGCAGTTTGTGGGTCCCAGAGCCAGAACTAGAGCCGGAGAGGAGCGGATTGATCCAAACATCATGTGAACAGAATGTGACCCGGCCCGGCCCAAAGCGTTCTGCCGTCACCGACTGGCGGCTAATGGCTAACAGATGGCCGCCTGTTTCTCCCTCTGTGAGGCCCGACGGGTCCGAACGGGCCAGAACCGGGACCCATAAGAACCAGAACATAACTGTCTGGAAATGAACGGAAGTCCCCGCAAGGAGAGAAGGACGTAATGGGTGTATGTGTGTGCGCGTTTGTTTGTAATACCTTGTGGGGACCATTTTCCTGACGCTACGCTGTGGGGACCCACTGCTCCTTGTGGGACCGAAGCCTGGGCCCCACAAGGGAAACGCTGTTTTTGGGTCAGGGGTCAGATTTAGGACTAAGGTGTGAACTGAGTTTTGGATACGGTTTGGATTAGGCATGTGATGGATAGGATAGGGAGAAAGGTTAGGCTGTAGAAATGAATGAAAGTCAATGGAAAGTCCCCACAAAGATAGCCATGCAAATATGTGTGTGTTGGGTGTGTGTGTGTGTTGAGTGTGTGTCTGTCATCTCTCTTATGCAACATTATGTAATGACTGAGCCAACCATCTTCATCATCATCATGGACCTGTCTGCACATGCTCCCTGATGATGTCATAGGTACAGGAAGTGGACCCTCCTTAGAGACGTCAGGCAGCCAGACCCCGCCCAGTAACCAGAGAGTTTAGAACTGGTTTGTGCTTTAACTGGTCAGAGAAGAGTCTCTGATCTACAGTCAGGCAGGCAGCGGCGGCCACAGAGGCTCCTCCCACCCATCAGGAAGCTCCAGGTGTTTCCAGAGCACAGCTGCAGGTAAAGCAGCAAAACTGCGGCGGCGTCACCCAGCAGGTTTGAAGCCCAGATCATCACCTGCCACCACCGTGAATGTTGATCCTGTTGAGGTTTTTCTCCTTCAATCCGTCCAAACAGCAAATCTTTTCCTGATCATCCTGTCATGACCTTTAACCTTTACAGGTCACAACTATTATGCAGAATTTACTTTTTGAACATTTTCGTTCCTCCATTCGTGTTTCCATGTTTCTAAAAACCACCAGGTTGTTTTTTGGTGTCATGAAAATGAGACGTTTCAGAAACCTATAGAATGAAACGTCAATCAGCCAGCACCGCCTGTTACCTAGCAACCACAGCCTGTTACCTGGCAACCTAAGCTGAGCTCCAGTGTGTGGTCAGCTGGTTCCTGCTGTACAATGGCTGCTGGATGGCAAGAGTTTTGTTGACTCGCCAAACAAACCAGTTGCTGCGTTCTGGTTGGTTGTGCAGGAGGCTTCACTTCTGCTCTTCTAAGATGTACAGGTGCATAATTTACCATCTGTTTGGAGCCATTTTCATGTAAAAGTGTAAATGTTGAGTTGGGAGTGTGGCCAGCAGTGGTTTGTCTGGATTTAAAGAGACAAAGGCCCTAAAATGTCCCAACAGGCAGAACTGAGCATAATTAAATCTGATTATCTAAGAATATTTTGTGCAGAAATTAGTAAATATGTTTGTTTAGGCCACATCCTGACCTGATTGAGAGAGTGAAACCTGTAATGGTCCGGTCCGCTCAGCGTCCTGACCCGATGCGCCGTCATGACCTGAAGCTCATTAAGATCCGCAAACTCCAATCAAACACAACAAGGACTAAAGGAGTTCTGGTTCTGGTACCGGCGGGCCCTCCAGGGTAACAACAAACACATTTCATCTTTAAAAGGAGCTGAAAAATCTTTGCCTAACGAGCATCAGAACCGTTTGGGTCAGAACCCATCAGCTGGTTCAGGTGTAGTTCACCTGAAGGAGTTTCACTGAAGCAGAGCAGCTGACTGAGCAGCTGAGCCGGGTTTCATCTGGTTCTGCTGCTCTTCAGGGGAAAAGAGATCAGATACATGGAGGTTCTGGTTCTGGGTCGGGTCGAGTCTCCCTCAGTTTAATGTTTACCAAATGTTGAGCAGAGCAGCAGAACGGCGCCGAGTTTCACTGAGACACAATGGAATCGAACCAGAGACCCAAACTACGACCTCCATCTCTGACTTTAATCCTGGATGTTGTTTCTGCTGAACAGAACCAGAACCAGAATCTTCTCTGGGTTTAAAGTTTCTATCTAACGACCCGTTGTCTCCTCAGGAAATCCCCTCAGTGTTTGTTACTCTAAATATTTAAAGAAAACTGATCAGAAACTCAAACCCAGCTCAGATGTCTCCCTCTGGTGGCCATTTCACGATACTGCAGCTCCAAACTCACCAGTGGATCCGCTGCGCCCCCTGCAGCCTGAAGGCTGAATAAACTCAGGTGTGGTTTTATATTGACACAAAGTGTAGGAAATGTTTTGCATTTAATTTAAATGTTTGTTATTTTTCAGTCAAATCACTGAAACTAAACCAGAGATGCAGGTTGTTGGTTTGGATCCTGGTTCTGATTTCCTACAAACCGAATCGTCGCCTCCAGGAAAGAAAAGAGTCTGAAAACTCAGAAACATTTTTAATAAATAAAAATAAACTTTAAACTGACGTCCATCAGTCCGGAGGCGCCTCAGAGTCTAGGACCTACAGCCAATCAGAGCCTCAGGTGTCATCAGAGAAGACTTGGCCCAGGATGGCGAGCCGAGCGCCGAATGGCTGAACGGGGCAGGAGAGAGGGGGCGGGGCCTTCTTCTCTCCAGGCTTCAGAGCGATGCTTTCTGATTGGATGGGGGGAGGGTCCTCAGTCTGACCAGCGGGCTGCTCTGATTGGCCGGCGGGCTGCTCTGATTGGCCGGCGGGCTGCTCTGATTGGCCGGCGGGCCGCTCTGATTGGCCGGCGGGCCGCTCTGATTGGCCGGCGGGCACCGTCAGCCCCAGCAGCAGGTGCTGCAGCTCGCGGCGCTCCTGCGCATGGCGGCTGCAGCAGTGCAGCGCCGCCGGGTCCAGAGGATGAGCCTCGGTGTTGAAGATGAATCCCCCCGCCCCCAGAACACACTGGCCGCTGGCTCCGCCTCCCTCCCACGACCCGTCTCCCTCCACCCCCCCGCCATGCAGGAAGTGGGAGGGGTCAAAGAGCAGGTACAGGTATTTGATGGTTTCAGCCAGGAAGAACGACTCCATCCTGTTATCCAGCTGGTGATCCCGGAGATCTTTGACCTGCAGAGGACGAGGAGCAGACTGAGCCTTCATCACCTCACTCACAGGTCAGGTGACCTGCTGACTCACAGGTCAGGTGACTCACGCTGGCATAGCCGCACGGCGTCTTGGCGATGCGTTCGATGGACTCCACGGCGTCCAGGCCGAACTGCAGGTAGGTGTGATCACCTGTGGCTCTGAACAGGTACATGGCGCTCTCCATCAGCTCTGGAATGGAAACATTTTCTTTATTAAAGTTCCTGAAAATGACGAGTGAAAGATGTCCAGCTTTCTGATGGTTGGCGGAGGAGAAATCCAGAATTGGATCAGAAGAAGGTTCATTATTGGGGAGGACCAGAAACAGGGACATTTTTAAGAGCAATTTGGGGGGGGGGGGGCAAAGTTACAGTAAAATGTGGTTTAAATTTTTGTGTTTTCAAGCTGAACCATCAAAAATGTCTAGGAACTACCAACAAATAACCAAAGTGTTTTTCTCAGTAAACAACCTGTTCAGACCCAAGAAGTCAAACTAAGATTTAAATGTTGCTCAGATATGAGTTTGATTCATCTAGTCTCTGCTACACCTTTAAAAAAACTTAAGGCTCTAAATAAAAACAAGTTTTAATAAGTAACTTCACTGACTAAAATTCCTCATAATATTGATTTATTGCAGTGGCTCTCAATACAAGTCATGTGTTATTTAAATTGTAACTTAAGTTGCTTTAAAATTTGATTGTTTTTTTTCCATTTTAAAACCTTTAAATATGTAGAAATTGAATATTTGGGAAGTATCATAACTTAAAGATCAGAACCAGAGTTTTCTAGAACAATATTCAGATTTTATTTTGTGATTTAAAGGCTCTACATTGAAGATGGTAAGAAATAAAGTCATATTTTATTTTACTGTTAGCTGCAGTCGCCCCTCTGCTCTCGGCTCCCATACTGAGCTGTTGGCTAATGCTAACACTCTCAGAGGGTCTCGCCTGATCTGAGAGGGTCTCACCTGGTCTCAGTGGGTCTCACCTGGTCTCAGAGGGTCTCACCTGGTCTCAGTGGGTCTCACCTGGTCTCAGAGGGTCTCACCTGGTCTCAGTGGGTCTCGCCTGGTCTCAGTGGGTCTCGCCTGGTCTCAGAGGGTCTCGCCTGGTCTCAGTGGGTCTCACCTGGTCTCAGTGGGTCTCACCTGGTCTCAGTGGGTCTCACCTGGTCTCAGTGGGTACCCCTCTCTCTTGTCCACTGTGTATCCCTGCGTGATGCTGTAGAACTCCGGCAGGCCTCCAAACTGCCTCCACACAGAGTAATAGTTCTGGAAGGTTCTGGCGGCGCTGTCCAGGTTCCCCAGCAGAGACTGAAACACAGACGACTGGATGAACGCTCGGTTCGCCGCCCGACCTGACGGTCCAGGTGTGCTGTACCTGCAGGCCGGGCCAGAAGGCCTCCAGGCTCTGGAACACCGGCATGGTGACGCTTCCTTTGTGCATCTGGACCCACAGGTACCAGTCATCGAAACGCGTGTAGTTCTGGATGGCCTGATCGTATGCTGAGGAAACACCACGACACTGTGAGGGTCTACTGTGGTGGGCAGCGCTAACGCTAAAGCTAACTGTGCTAACCAAAAAATAACTGTGCTAACTAAAAAGCTAGCTGCGCCAACTCTAAAGCTATCTGTCCTAACTAAGCAGCTAGCAGCGCTAACCATTAGCTAAAGCGCTAAACAAAAAAATGAGTTCCACTGCTTGTGGACTAGCAAAAGCGTTCTGGTTTCTGTCGGAGCTTCACCTCGGAACATGTTGAGAAGCTCCTGGTCCTGCAGCATGATGGCTCCTTTCACCAGATACTCAAAGTACGAGTCGACGCCGGCGCCGATGCCGGCGTCTTGGGCCACCCACTTCCTGGTCACGATGTCGATGTGGTTCCCCACCTGGATGGGCAGAAACAGGTCTGTCCAAACTGTTCCTGATTCTTGGTTTGGATTTGGTTGCGTTTGGTTACCAGTCCGATGTCAGATCTGGTGCTCCACAGGGCGGTCAGAGCGCGCCGCGCCGCGCTCTCGAACGTCGGGTCTCCGGTGAGGCGGCTCAGCGCGGCGAACTCCAGGATGAAGGTTCCCACGCCGGCGGTGCAGGTGACCGGCGTCTCGCTGGGACTGACACCTCGCAGCAGGTTCACGGTGCCGTACGGCATCCCGGTAGGCGTATCGAAGGCTGTGGACAGTCAGGTCAAAGGTCAGCGGCACCTCTCCCACCACATGAGGAAACCCATAAACATAAGAGTAGACGCCTCATGGGCCGCTCCGGCGCA